CTAGAAGTAACCTGTGTCCACTTCGGCCACGTCCCGTTGACCATGGGTCAGTCCCAGTGCAACGTAGGAATGGACTCCAGGGGTGTAGGTTCTGGGGGGCCGCGGGGGTTGCCGGCTGCGGAGGAGAAGATGCGATAATCCAAAAACAAGGTGGAGGGGCTTGGACAGGAGCGCTAGCAGTTGAGGTGCTGGGGGGGGGGGCTCTCAAGCTGTAGTGCAGGGAGAGCTCGTGTGACTTTCTGAGGAAGCGCAAGAAAGTGAAGAACCACGGTGAGCCCAAACGTGGACCCGCAGGGCTGAGGGCTGCCTGGAAGTGAGGTGGGCGTGGGAGCAGCCCTGGGTGACGAGGAGGTGACCGGCTTCTGCGTCGTCTTGTTCTTCTCCTCGGGGCCCAGGTAGCGGGCACGCGTCTGCCTAGCTCTCTGCTGGTTGTGTGCGTTTCTCCTAACTCGTGCAGCAATGGGCCACACAGGAAGAAGCGGACGTTCACGCACAGGGCTAGGAAGTGCCGAGGTTTGGAACGCGGTCCCGGACCACGCCCTGTGGGCCATTTTCTGCAAACGGTCTGGTGCCTTTGTCAGGGCCTACAGGTGTTCGTAAGACATAACTGCCAGTGGAGGTGTTTGGGTGTGTGCGGTGCGGGGACGCATCCTGTGTGTGTCTGGGGTGTGTGCGTGTGAGACTGCACCTGGGAATGGGGTGGATGTGGGTATTTCTGGAAGGAAGCCAAAGGCAAAGAGAGGGAAGAGGAGTCTGCGGGCCTCAGAGTGAAGCCAGTCAGGGTGGGAATCCAAAGCAGGGCAAAGGCTGCGGACCTCAAGGGAGCAGCTAGCGTTGGACTCAGTGGAATGCCACTGTCTTGGAGTCCTGGGTGCTCTAACAGCCGCCGGACAGTCTTGTGTGCAGTTAGTAGCCTTTGCATGGTGAAAATTCAGTTCGAAATCATGAAATCACGGATGCACGTGCTGGAGGAGCTCTTGGCAACGGAATATCTGAGTGTAGGGAAAATTCTGGACCATCTTCTGGAAGGTGGGACTTGGCATCTGGGTTTAGAGAAGAGTAATGGTGTCAGAAAGATTTTTGGGAGGGGAGCAGTTAGCAAAGCTCGGGGAGGTGAGAATAGGGATTTCAGAAAAATGCAGAAAACAGCCCAAGTCTTTATATTAGCAAGTACAGGAAAATAAATTTTGAGAAGTAAATCAGAGGGAGATAACAGGGCCTTCCATGTCAGGTGGCAGAAGGAGTTTGGATTTAGTTATAGGTAGCTTCAAGTCATAAGGCAGCTTTAGAAACTTATGTGCTACAATATTTATTCCATGGGATTTCCATATGGATTAAGGAGGGGAAGAGAAGGACAGGGACTAGTTAAACAGGAAGAGCTAAGGCAAGAGTGAGCTAGGTAGGGTGACTGACTGCGTAGAAGTGACAAGTATGTTGTTTAGAGGGTGAGGGTGCTGCGTGCTAAGTTTCCCGAGCTTCCTCCCAGCAAGGCGCTGCACATGTGTGAGTCAGCGCTCAGGGCACAGGAGGGCTGTCGCCAGCAGAGGGTTCTGACGCCTCTGTCGACTGATCGGTTGGCGTCTTAGTCCTGTGGGTGCTCCAGCTCTTTCACTGTTTTAACTTATAACTCGTCTCCCAACCTTGCACCCCACAGCCACAAAAAAAAAGTTGCTAGGTCAAAGAAAACAAATGATTTTGAGAAAATGAAGAGATGTGTGCCCTAACATAGCCTCAGCCTTGCTGTGACATATGCAGCATTTATCCACATTCTTCTCCAAAGAAGGAACTGGGGATCAAGTTTGCAGTTGTCTGCAGCCCCATGTCCAGGGCTACGCAGGATGCAGCACTCCAGAAGCTGAGGCCAAGCAGAAGTAGAGCCATCTTTCCCAAGGAGCAGTGACGAAACAGCTTCACAGTGTTCCTAACTTAGGCAAAAGCTGCTCTAGGAAACTTTCCTTTCTTTTCAAGACTACATTTTTGCTCAGTGTACCAGAGAGATTATTTTGTTTTTATTAAACTGAACTTCACTCAATAGTGCTCAGCACCACAGGGATTATGATCTGTGCAGAAAATATCTAAAAACCATTGCATCATCAAAGGGGAGGGCACCAAGAAATGGTTTATGGTTTCCCAGAACCTTTTCTTCTGTGTATTATATGACGATTCATCCATAGCTGTATCTTTGAGGAAAGGCTGGTAGATGTCCTAGATCGTGGGTGGACACCTGTACCTGGAGAGAGGAAGTCAGGAGTCCAGGAGACCCAGCAGGAGGGAGTCGATTCGGAGGAGGACTCGAGAACACTCCGCTGAAGTAGGCCAGCAAGTCTTGGAAATCAAGACTTGGCTCTGGTCCCTCAGCATGGGCTTCCTGCTAAACTCCTGGGAGTTTGCCAGTGTGTCATGAACACGCCTCTCTGCTAGCCATGTGTACCTCCCTCGGACATGGGAGAGAGCAAAATCCTCGTCTGTAGGTTCTTGAGTTACTAGAAGTCAGACATCCGAGCTTTTGTCTTTACGATGGTGCAGAAGCCGTGCTTTGCGGTTTGAATCTGGGCCTTTCCCTGAGCCCCAGGTCCTCTGTAACTGGAAGTTTTAAGAAGTACATGGGCCTGTGGGCAACCGTTTCCAGTTCCGAGCACCATTTCTCTCTCTCAATGCAGGGTGTGGGCCAGTATCAAGGTGACCCCAACTAAACAACTATTGAGCGGCAAGGGTGGCATCATCAGAATCTGCGCCCTCCCCCCTCCCCCCCCCTCCCGGAGCCCTCCTTTCTTCTGCCTGGGGAGGCTTATGAGCCCACCCACACTTCCTCTTTGCACATCCAACCCCTGGGGTTAGCAACTGCATACAGTGTGGAAGTGCTGTTTCACCTTTAGATTACAATATGTAAATCTTTTCAGCAGGCTTTTCGAAATAAATAAAAATCTACTTCTTTGTAAGAAATCTTTGGTACTCTGTACCACCACACTTACTCTTCACTTGAAGAAATGTTCTGAGCCCCCCTGTGCACCCCCCACAGATCTGCGTAGAAACCCTGTGCCCTCTGTGTGCCTTCCCTGCACTGCCTTGGGGGGCGGCTCTGTGTCCGGCCATCTGGGGTCACAGACACTGTCTGTCTCCTGCAGCTTCCCACATTCACCGTCAGCCACCTGTTGGGCTCTCTGTAAACACTTACGGATACCTGCTAAATGAATGACTCTGGTTTCCCTTTAGTTAATGATTATCTTCAGCACTTTTCAATGAAAGCCAACTTTGCCAAAAATTGATATGCCCACAAACTTTGCCAGAACACAGAACTGCAGTGGTAGGGATGCCTCTTATTTGCATAGTGCTGTGCAGTTCATGGGGCCCTATTTTAGCCACTATTTTATTTGATCTCATGGGGAGGAAAGTACGGTGGGCAGTGCTATCTCCGTCTAAGGTGGGTAAAACGGAAGCAGCTCCCTGCACTGTGCGAGACAGAGCAGGACTCACTTCCACAGCCCGGGCCCCCCCGTGGCACCATGCTGCCAGTGGTCAGTGAGCCCTTTGATTTCGGCTTTTCTCATTTATTCCAAGAAACCTGATTATACGCTTTTAATCCAGTTCATTTGCAATTGGGTCAGTGTTCTCTCTTTCTTCCTCACTGGTTCCACCACACAACTGGCACAAAGAGCTCAAGCCAGAGGCCTAAAGACCATCTAGCCTAGAATTCCACTTGGCGAGGTGTGTATTTCTCACCGCAAATAGCTCTTGCCAGCACCAGTGTTGTTATCTGCCCTGACAACCTGCATGCCCCCCCCCGCCGCCCGCCCACCACACATGGGGCCTTCAGCTCTTCCTTGAAGGTTCACGCCAATTCACAGCCACATGCAGGCTCCGAAGGAGCATCAGCCAAGGGCCCTCAGCAGGGTTGGTGGCTGAGCTCCCTCAGGCCACTGCTGCTGTTGTCTGCACGGGCCTGTAGCTTGTCCATGCTAGGCTTCTGTGTGCCAGAGTACGTGTTCCTGGACAACATCTCATTGTTCCATTTTGGTTCCACTTCAGTGAATAAACAAAAGGGTCAGGAAATGAGTGGCAAAGCTTCTCCTGGTTCTTTTCCTTGACCTCTTGGTGACTGTCATGGTCTCTGGTATTTAAATCATTACCGTGCCCACGTGACAGCACAGCCCTCCTTGTCGTGTGCTGCTTTTCCCAGCCCCTTTCTGTCCCTATTGGAAGTTGTCCAAATGTGCGCTGCTTTCTCCAGATGGAGTTTGGTACCTAGTGTTTGTCTGTGGACAAGACAGAGGCTGAACCCTACTCATACAGAGAGGATTCTGAGCCTGTGTCACACCCTGGCCCGCAGCCTCACAGGGGAGTATAAACTGCACGCGAGGGGCCGTGTTTGCCATGCAGCTTATGTTGCTTTTTAATTAAGACACACAGGTTGGTCTCTAATTTGCTACACTTTCATGCATATGCTAGATAAGTACAATTTTGATAATTAACGTATTGATTTCATTTCATGTGGTGTCTTTACTTATAGAGTTCAGTTATATAAAACCTCTTTCAGTTTCTGTTCTAGTACTTACCAATGAAGAGTAATGAAATAAAGTTATTTGGAATGACTAGAAAACCAAGTTGGAAGAGGACCAATGCATGCTGCTTATACTACTTTTAGAATACTACTTAATGTCTTAGTGGCTAAATAAATCAGTGGCTGCCTAAATGCAGCATGACAGTTGCGTTAGTTTTGATGTCTCCCTCCTCTTCCCCCATTTGGGAACTACAAATCAATGTTTGGATCCAGGGAAAGTGTGGGTTTTGTGTTTGCTTTGAGCCAGGGTCTCACTGTGTAGTTCTGACTGGCCTAACCAACTGTGTGTTCAAGGCTGGGCTCCAACTCACACCCACCCTCGTGCCTCAGCCTCTGAGGTGCTGGGATGACACATATGTTACTTCTCCCAGCCTCATACAGTGCAGATTTGTGGGGGGAAACGTTCCCTGAAAATAAACCTCCCCTTCCTCTCATTTCACAGCAATAAAAGGCTTGTGGCCTTAGTGCCAATGCCCAGTGACCCTCCATTCAACACCCGAAGGGCTTACACCAGTGAGGATGAGGCCTGGAAGTCCTACCTGGAGAACCCTCTGACAGCGGCCACCAAGGCCATGATGAGCATCAACGGTGACGAGGACAGTGCTGCTGCCCTCGGCCTGCTCTATGACTACTACAAGGTGGGTCCCGCCTGTCTCCCCATCTCTCTGGCTCTCTGAAGCTCAACTTCGCAGTCTGCTAAAGGAAGTTCTGGTTGTGTCCTTCACTCCCGTGCACAAACACAATTCACCTATAAATCTTATTAACACCCTAATGCCAATGTTTCCTTGATGTCACTCCTCACTTTATAGTTTATTTTAGGCCTGGCTGTGCTGAGCTATTGCTTATCTCCTAGGTTTTTAGGTTGCCCCTGGAGTTTTCAGTGTTATAAGGAGCATTTAGGTACTCTAGATTTCTTAGTTTCATAAGGACTATTTCATGACTGCTTATGTGGAAGATTTGCCACAGTTCCAACCTGCACGGTCTCCATTGTTTCTTTTCTTTTTTTTTTTTTTTGTGGTAATGGGGATTGAACTCAGGCCCTTGGACTTGCCAAGGAAGCGCTTATTCTACTGAGCCATCTCCCCGGCCCTTCATTGTTTCAAAGGGGACTAAATTTTAATTTTGAAAAGCCCTAAAGTAAGATGAATGTAACAGTAGAAAAAGCACCTGTCACACAGTACTTACAAAATGAGAGTATTGCAGAACATCAAACAAGAAATAGTTGATCTCAAGGACAAAAGACTATGCTTGGTGTGACCTGCTCTCTTAGAGGTGTTGAAGTGTAAAAAAATCGACATGTATTTATGGAATGAGGAGATGATTCTTTGCTTTGGCTGTGAATGCCTTTGACTTGTGCTAAGACATGGCATGAAGGCGAGGGTGCCTGTGTTGCCAGGTGGGCCCCTGGTGCTCTTATTCTGGTATCAGTAAGAACTGAGTCTCACCTCCCCTCTCTATCATGGAATAATCAGCATTGGGCAAAACCACCAAGAAAGAACAGTTTCCCCTTTAGTGACTGCAGCTTTTACTTCCTATTGCCTTACCTAAGATGAGGAACAAGATGTGATTGACAGGTGTGAGAGGCACTAGGGAGCCCTTCCAGAATGCTTTAAGTGAGGATGCTATGAACTTGGATAAATACGTCATTTATTGTCAGGAAGTATTGGTGAACTCCAAGAAGGGTGTTTTATGGCCTCTTGCTGGGAAGGCTGATTTCCTCCTACATCTAGGGTCAGAATTGGCAAAGAGGGGCCAGGGAGATAGCTCAATAGAATAAGCACTTGTCAGGCGAGCGCAAGGTCCTGAATTCAATCCCCATTACCACAAAAAAAAAAAAAAAAAAAAAAAAAATTGGCAAAGGGACTCTAATTTCAGGAGTGAAAGTTCTAGATGAAAGGATGCTTAAGGGCTTCACTGCAGTGAAGGAGTAACTTATACCTGAGAAAATAAGCATGAAAACTCTGAGTTCCATGTAGGCCCTTTTTCTTCTTTTCTGGTGGTGGGTGTTTTACATTGTAAATCCTTTCCAGCTGAGGATCTCATTTGGAAAATAAGAAAAGTCCTAAGTGACGTGAATGTTTTCAAAATTACTGAGGATGGCACAGAGCAGGCTTCATCAGACTGGCCTGCCTGGTGTCTTGGACCATTTCTCCAGGCTTAGCTCTTTATGGTCTTATCCTAAGAAGGAGATTCAGAAGTCAGTTTCCTTGATGAGATAAAAATAATCAAAAGCTGTCAGTGTTATCAATTTTAAAGTCCATTAGCATACCATGAAGTCACCCTGATTTAATCTCTACAACTTCTCCTCCTAACTTTTATGTTAAATTAACATGTAAGTTCATTTTATTTTTTAAAAATAATTTTATTGAGTAGCAATGAGACAGTTTCAAAACCAATTACTAGCACAGTTTCAATAATTAATACATCGCATATTGTTGTCTTAGTGGTTACTCACTGTACAAGATGCAGACATGATATCCTGTCCACGGACACTATTAGAATAAATCTCTCTATTCATTGAATTAAGAGAATGCTCTAAGTTCATTTCAATTAGGCTTTACAGAAATGTATGGATATATTTAGAAGGAACATATTCATCATATTCTTTAAAAATAGATGTTATTGTCATTGTAAAATGAACATATTTTCAGATACCTAGAAATGATGGCATTGTCTTGATTGGTTAAAAAAAATCTGAAAGAAAATTAACTAGTTTTCAATTTATGAAAGCAATGTATTTATCTCCCATAGTTTCAGAGGATAATTATCAGTAAGTAGAATAATTAAGTATTAAAAGATATAGTACCTAAATTGTGTCTCTTCTTGAACATTTGCTATCATGTCAAAGAAAGCTGAAATACTGCATTCTTTTCTTGAAATATTATGTTTTGTAAATATTTTGAGATGCAAGGCAGGGACTTCCCATAAAATCTGAAATGTGGCCAACTCAGTTTTCTGTGGAGTCCAGGCCAAGTCTAGCAGAGTCAAGTGGCTCCTTTTGTTTCACCAAAGAATTGGGGGGGGGGGGTTGGTGTGTTTGAAGCACTTTAGTATCTAAATGAAAAATAGGTCTTATTTCCACGAGGACTGTGATCAAATGGTCATTCTGAGGCCTCTGCACTTTTCTGGGTGCTCGCAGGCTATATGTGTGGGGTGTGGGGGAGTGGAAATGAAGTTAACTGTCCTGTGTAGACCAAGGGACACATGAATGAGAAAGAGTGATTTTTCCTTTTTCAATCTAAACTTTGGGAAGTTATCATTATAATTTAAATCTTACAGACTTGTCATGCCTCTTTGGAAGTGTGAATTGATTCTTTTTATCATAGACAGCATTTTTTCTCACTTTTGTGGTTGGTGTTTGTCAACTGTGGAGGGGTCTTAGGGTGCTGTGTCCCGGAGAGGAGCTTGAGTGCCATAGGGAGCAGTGGCCCTGTCCCTCCGAACCTACAAAGGAGCTTCATTTATGTTCTTTGTACAGATCTTTAGAAACTCGGTGTGGTTCTTTATAAACTTCAAAGTTTTTCACCTGCATTTTTAACTGTCACAAGATCATGAAACTCACGCCGTTTTATATTTTATAGTTCAGGCAACCAAATAGGATTTTATGGGACAATCCCATTTCTTAATATCCCTTTCATTAGAGTATCTACTATTTTGAAAAATACTCTTACCTGAACCTATTTAAAGAGGGTTAGGTTTTTAAATTGTACAGGTAAAGCTTAATATGCTGCTTGCTAATTAGATAATATTTATTTAAAAAGACACACTTGTAGATTGTCCCATAATTTGAGAGCTCAAAATTCTAGCACAATTCTCTATCTAGTTGAGGTTGCTTCCCAAGGGCAATTCCAAAGTGTGACCTTTTCCTGAATTCTGCGTGTGATAGAAAACATCCCAGATTTAGTTGGTTGCATATGTAAAAGTGGTCTGACTTATGTCTTAGTCTATTTCTGTCACTATAATTGGATAGCACAGTATGGTAATTTATAATGGATAGAGGTCCGTTTAGCTCATGATTCCACAAGCTGGGAGATCTAGTAGCATGGTACTGTACAGTGGTGCCTTGGTTCACAGATGCTTCTGTTCATGAACAATTTAGTTTGAAACAGAAGTGATCAGCAAAAGTTTGCTTCCGTTCACAAATTCCACATTGGGTGATGAACACAAATGCAGCCATCGGAAATGAATTAAGTGTGTGAACTGAGTTACCACCTTCTGGCCTCATCATGACGTGGTAAAGGACGTCACATAACGGGTGTTGGAGACTGGGACTCTCTTCCTTTTGTAGTTACCTGTTGTCAGTGGGGCCCATCCCCATGTACTAATCTAATTCTGACTAGTTCCCAAGCAGTCTACCGCTACACACCACTAACATGAATTTGGAGAGTAAGTTTCCAGCATACGAATTTTGGAGCGATATATTCACACCACAGCAGTTCTTATAATATTACTTGATTTATTTTTCCCACCAGAGAGCTTGTGGTTTGTAATCATCTGATTCCAGCCCTAAAGAAGTGTTTCAGTTGTCAGTTGGTTCCTATCTCTCCAACTGATTGAACTGATATTGTTGGAAAGCATTTTTTTGGGTTATCTGTCCATCCATCCATCCATCCATCCATCCATCCATCCATCCATCCATCCATCCGTCCATCCATCTACCCATCTGTCCGTCCATCCCACAAATATTCATTACTTAGCTACACTTTTCCAGCAATTGTGTTGGGCATTGTGGGGTGGGTTGAATACCCAAAGGCAGATTGTAACACTTCAGAAAAGTCACAGAGAGTCACAGTCCAGGACAAACAGGTCCTGTAACCTATAACCACAGGGCCTGGGAGGTAAGTGTTATTAAAGGGTGTGTTCTAGGAATAGTACATTGACTGGCAACTTCTGGAGAATCCATAATCTTTCTACAGGAAGGAATACCTTCTCTACCAGGGACAGGGAGGGTTTGTCAGGGGCAGACAACAAGAGAACACGTCGAGTAAAGGGAGGTGGAGAGGGGGATGCACAGAGTATGAAAGCTTGGGTTGTACTCAGTGAAATTCAAACCATCAGGACTGCTGGACCAGGGCTGGTGAGCGAGGGGTTGAAATTGGTCAGAAAGTGGCTCTGTCTTGGTATCTTGCCAGGCAGGTTGGAGTCTGGGCTTTATCTCCCAGAGCAGAGTTTGGTGGTGGTCTTTTTTTTTTATGGTACTGGGGATTGAACTCAGGACCCTGAGCTTGCCAGGCAAGCGCTTATTCTACTGAGTTATCTCCCCGGCCCCTTGGTGGTTGTCTTTATGTAAGATGGGTGAATGAATGAGCGGACAAATGAATAAGTGACTTGATAAGTATCTATAGGCTTTGAAAAAGATATTTTTAAAATCAGCTTTTCCATTTTTTCCAGCTTTGTTGACAAGTAGTAGATACTGTATATATTCATAAAGTATACAAAGTGGTGTTTTGATCTATCATGTTTTCATCTTTTATGTTTGTGTAAGTCTATTAACAAAGGTGCAAGAAAGAAGAAAATAAAACATTTACAATCCCCTTAACATTATTATGATCTTTTAAAAAATTTTCTCTACTGAAGGATTGGGTCTTAGGCCTCTTAGGTGGGAGAAATTGTCCACACAGAGGACAGTAGCAGCAGAAGAGAGGTAGGCTGGGGACCAGTGGTCTATTTAGTGAGCAGCCCATTGCAATAGTCCAGGTAAAATATGAGGATGAACTAGAGGAAAGGTGGGAGAGGAGCTTCCTTGGGTCAGCATTCATGAAACTGCCCCCTAAATCAGCCATCAAAACAGGCACCACATAGAGACAAAGAAATAAATTTGAGAAATGAGTGTTTGAATGAAAACTGGTCGTGTGTTTGTGCTTGTTTGTATAACTGAGAGCCAGGTGTCTCAGCTCTTCTCAGCTGATCCGAATGGGGACAAGAAAGAAAGGCATTGGGGGAGGAAGATAATGCTAGGATTGATGCTCTGCAGGATGTCCAGGTAGAGCTGTCAGACCACAGTGATGTGGGTCTAGCACGTAAGAGAAGACATTGAGCTCGGAAGTCTCCATTTCTCTGAACACAGTCTGCAAAGCCAAAGGTGAGGCTGGCTCAGAGGCCTGGTTGAAGCAAACCCAAAGGTTAGGAAGTGCTTTACAGCACTTGGGGTTCACATCAGTGACTTGGCAGCAGTAACTCTGCTTCTGGGAATCTTTGGGAACTGTCCTAAGGTTCTAGGGCTTAGAATTGGTTTCTTGTACTTCTTTAGTTCTGCCTTTTGCAGGCCATTTTGATGGGTGGATTCATTCTTTCAGAACTCAGTGAGGCCCCTAATACATTAGGTGCTGGGGGCCTAACTGTGCTCAGGGTCGACATGTGGAGACTGCAAGGTTCTCACGGACACAGCAATTTAAATGGGTCTTGAGGATTGCCCTGGATAAAGTGCAGATAAAGGGCATGGGAGGGGAGCTGGGTTCCCAACACAGAGATGTTAGGGGAGGGCTCCACTGTTAATAGGAGCATTGCTTGGCTGCAGAAAATGTGTTTCCTAGGTGCACGGTGGAGTTCTAAGCAGCAGCATGAGATCAGAGTTGCAGTTTTAAGATAACTTGGGCATCCAAAGTTGGACTGCCATGAAGGAAATGGGAAACCACTCAGGTGACTCCCAGCAGCAAGAGGTGCTGGAGGTCAAGCCTGCAGGATGCCTTTGAGGGACACAGGACCTGGTTGGCACCCTGGTGGCAAGGGAGAGGGCGAGGATGCTGAACAATGAAGGGCCAGGTGGCAGTGCCATCACAGGGACACAGAAAGAAACAGAGAGGCTAAATAGCACCTCTGAGGCCATACCTGCTTCCCAGCAATTTCCTTATTCTGTCATGTCATTTTTTAATAAGTAGTTCCTATGGCTAGAAAGCCTTCCTCATCCAGCTGACAAATTCCATCCGAAGCTCAGCGCCTCTGGAGCACTCTCCTCTAGAATACCTGAGTGCCTGATCTCCTATCATTCACAGCTGAGTTTTTGTAACACCATTAGGAGGATATGTGATTTAGGAGAAGAGGGCAGGCAGAGCAAGGTTGGTTAGAGGGTGGTCCAGGTGCAGGGCACAGAGGGCCAAGGCTGTGAACACAGGTTCTTGTCTGTAAATGCTACTTTCCCCTATTTTTTTAGAAAATGGTGATAAAATGCACATAATATAAATGTATCACTTCAGCTACTTTTAAGTGCACGGTGTAGAGGCACTCAGTACACATTCATTCGATCATGTTGCTATGCGACCCTCACTGCCAGTCTTCTCAGAACTTCCCAACACTCATGCCCCGTGTCTCTTATCCCTCTGTCACTTTGAATTTGACTTTCTGGGTACCTCATATATTTGTCCTTTGGAATCTGGCTTATCTTATCAGTGTTTGTCTTTGAGACTTATGTGTACTAAGGCACGTATCAAAATTTCATTCCTTTTTAAGGATAAGTAATATTCCCATGCATGGATATACAATTTGTTATTTATCCATTCATTGTTTGGTGGATGCCTCGGTTATTTCCTCCTTTGGGCTGGTATGAATGAGCTGGAGCAAACATTGATGTATGGGATATTGACATTTGTACTGGATAACATTAATGGTCATCCACAATACACACCAGGAATAGTGTTCCATTCATCTCATTTCTAACCAGTACTTAGCAATGCCTGGTACACTACAGACTCTCAAAGTCGACATATGACTGAAGGGCTTATAATTAATTAATTTAACACATTAAGTGCCAGATATTCTGTTTTAAAATTTAACTCATTCTACTAAAAACCTGTGTAATATAGAGTTATCCTTAAGCCTGGCTCATTCACAGCAGCCCAAAGGAGGAAATAACTCAGGGATCCAAGACAATAGCCAAGGAAAGTGGGACAGATATGGTTAGATCCATATTCAGACAAATGGAAACCAGACAGATTGCTCAGATCCAGTAGAGGCACCTTCTCATAAATGTGCTTTCATCTCAAAAGGATGATCCAGAGGTTTAGCAAAAAATTAAAGATAAAAAAGTTCAACCAAACCAACCAACCCAAACCTACCAACTGGTATACTTGGGAACTCTGCCCAGTAAGGGCCCATAACACAGTGGGGTGACTGGAAGATGGCCCACAGCCCAGCTCAGAGGTTCTTATCTCAGGCACATCTCTCGGTAAGTGCCAGGGATGATGAAGTTGATGGTGAAGATGGAGGCCAGAGTGCCTTAGGAAAACACCAAGGAGGCAAGCCCATGGGCTGTGAGGCGATGCTGGTTAAAGGTGGCCCAGGTTGGTTGGCTGTTTTGTTTCTCCATGGGCTGACAATGCTGCTCCCTGCCCAACTTCCTGACCCCCACCTGAAGTCATTAGAAGGAGCATCAGTCCCTGTCCCTTTAAAGAGCACTCGTCACTCCGTGGTGCTGTCCTTTGGCATCTGGTTTTGGCATCTGTCCTTTGGCTCAAAGGCACCCAAGTTCAAGTGTACTTCATGTCCACTCCCAAGGCGAGGACAGCATGGCAGCATTGTGGCCAGGGAGACTGGCTTCGGGCAGCTTGCTTACATTTCTTTGTGACCCCTTGTATGTCAGTCTCTGGCTGCTCTGTCATTGTTCCTCAGGGTACTCCTTTAACCATCTCCTGACACTCAACAAATTTGCCCCTTCTTCCTGGAGATCATTCCTTGTCACATCCTTGCTTATTTGGGATCCAGTTCTGCACATGCTCACTGCTCTGTGTCTAAGTCCGACTGATGACTGGTCTGTTTCCAGGTTCCTCGAGATAAGAGGCTGCTGTCTGTAAGCAAAGTTGGTGAGAGCCAAGAAGACCAGGATAAAAGGTGAGATGCGTGTAGAGGACCCTGCCTGGCTCCGAGGACAGTTCCCTTTCTTCTTGGGAGGAGATGAGGTCACACAGCTTCACCTCCTCTGCCTTTGGAGTCTCATCAATGACAGTAAATTTAAGTTTTGAGTTTTGCAGCAAGGGTTCTGGGCAGACTCTTCGATTGATGCCCGCCATGGGCTCCTAAAGTTCCAGGAATTCTAGGTGATGGCCTGGCAGGGAGCCCAGTGCTGGCAAAAACTTTTCTGATCAATTCCATGGCTCTGTCACTGCAATTGGGCTCCAGAGAAGTCAGGATGGCTCTTGATGGGGAAAAGGGGGCTGGGGGGCTGTTTCTCAGTGGAAGGAGATAGCAGGGGAGGGCCAAGAGCAGGGACAGTGAAGATGTACGACCCCCTTTTCCTGCCCTGCTGAATTAAGAACCTTGTAGATGACAAACAAGATACACATAAACTAAAAGGAAAAAAAAAAAAAAAGCTTTATTTAGAATGAAGCGAATTGGAGGTGACTTGGAATCTGCCACTGTTAGTCCCTGGATCCTGATTTAGGTAACCCCTGCCACCCAGCCCTGGGCAGGAGTCTAGGCCACTGGTGGTATGGCAAGGGTGCCTGGAAGACCCCTTTCCTGGGACCAGCAGGATCCAAACAAGACTAGAAAGTGCTGATCACCCTGCTCTGCTCCAGGCTCCAAGGGGATCCCTGGGATACATCCCTGCCTGTAGTGAGGTGAGAGAAACCGCAGGGGTTGTCTATTATAGATTCTTTCACATGCAAATATGAAGCCAAGAGAAGTAAACTCCCCTGCTAGCACACTCTTCCTGGCCTTGATGGCAACTATTTCTGCATTGTGATCTCCTGTGCCTAGGACCTGGGACATTCCCTCCCCACCCCTTTGCTGGTGCAGACTCTCATAGGCAGAGTCCAACAGACAATTACAGCTATCTGGCGCTTGCTCATCACTGTGCTAGGGATTTTCTGAAGCTCTGTGCTCTGAGGAACACTGGGCCCTCTCTGGCAGGAGCAAGGACTTGGAGTAGGGGCTGAAACTCTTCACGTCTCGTGAGGTTTCCTCCGTGCAGCCAACTGTATTGAACTAATGGCTTGCATGACTGCTAACCCTAGACCAGTAATCAAAGTGGAGTCTGGGTGAAATGAATCTAGGCTATATGCACTGTCTACAACAGAAATGTTCTTTGTTGTTGTTAAAGCATCTTTTAAAACAACATTACAGAGCAACAGCTGCTTGTTGTATTTTAATAGTTACTTTTGTAATTTCCAGGAAGCACATTTAAAAAAAACTGGCAATAAACCACCTTGTATAGACTAATTATGACTTAGTAGGTTTCTCACTGGATGTAATTTGGAAGGGTGTCATTTTGATCCCCACTGCATTCAGGAACTAGGGTGCTGTGTGCTAACAAGATATCATTACAACTGTTTGTAAACACTTGCTACTTGGGCAAAAATAACAGGCTCTCAATGCCATGATCCAAGTTTTTAAAAAATGTGTATTTAGTGCACCATTCTTTGTGTGGCAGTTTTTGGCAGAACCGGGGATTGAACTCAGGTCCTTGCGCTTGCCAGGCAAGTGCTTATTCCACTGAACTATCTCCCCAGCTCTGTGTGGCAGTTTTTAATACTTAGTTCAATTTTAAGTTCAAATGCAGGTAAGTCAGTACCTCCCAATAACTCTGACTTTGTTCTAGTTATTCACTTGGTGGACATCTTTCTGACAGTTTCTGCCATCAGCTTCTAAGGCCAATATGATTGCCCAAGCACAGTTACACAACATACCGTGTTGCCTGAATCTGCTATGCCCTGGAGATGTGGCTGACAGTCATGATTTAACTAGATTTAGATAACATTATAGTGTGCTTATTTGTTAATAAGAGCACCCAAGATATTTTGACTTTTGTTCTTTGTTTAAAATTCATGTGTTTTGTATGAATTAAAGAACTAAGAAATTTGGCTCCAAATGGACTATGGAGAAGTTCGAATGTTTTGGCAAAGCCAGTTACAGCTGTGTTTGGGCAAAATGCAGAGTAGAAAGCTTGCAACAACAGTTCTGGTAGCCAGGAAAGCTGAACCATTCACACCCAAGCTGCAGAACACTATCCACGCATCTTAGGGATTTTTACCTCCACAAAGGAGTGAAATGAGGGAAAATTCTAGGTTACAATTAAAGAGGTGAAGAAATGCATAGGGGTCACCCAGGGTGGTCTTGTTATGGCAATAAATATATTTTTTTTGTTCCTCTTTTAACACTGATTTTTATCATGGAATCCTTTTTTAAAGAACATCTATTAGCATTCCATGCAATGTTTTAAACAATGCGGTTTAAGAAATGCTGATGCAAATGGGTGGTCTGGGTTTTGGCATCATCCAGCTAACTGGATTCAGATAAAACACAATTTCTGAGGGCTCTACTGTGCTTTGTATATGATCTGCTTTACTGATTTGACCATGACAACAGGTTGTTGCTTAAACCCAAAATGTTCATAGACTTGTGATTTTAAGCCTTCGGAGATTATTTTCTAAAATTATATAGATAGATCTATGAGACTTGAAGGCATTTTGGTATTTTCCTGCTCATGTGGAGTCATTCTTTGCTCTGAAATTTTATCCAGACAATCAAAGCTAAAAAAAAGAAAAACAAAAATAAGTCTGGCGTGATTGGTAAGAGGTGTCGGCAAAGCCCAATGCTTGGAAGACCCAGTGTTATTCAAACATTTCTCTCAGTTGGTTTCAGAAAGTACAGTGGTTCCTCCCTTCTAGCTCATGAATTTAATTCTTTCCACTATTCCTGTTGCAAACTGAATTGGACAAGAACTGAATCAAATATTGGGTAGGTTCAATGTTGACTTTATGGGGAAAATTTGATTCTTGTTCAATTTGGTTTTCACCTAGAATGGTGGAAAATTGAGAAATCAAGACGCCACTACAAGCTAGATTAAGAAAATAAAGAACAAGAACAAAATTCCAAGTATCTAAGACAGAGTTCCAAAAAACCCATGAATTTGCTTTCCATATTACTCAGAATAATCCATAAACAAATGGTAAGTGTCCTCCCTTTACTGACCAGACTTTTCTAGTAAAATAATTTTTCTATCAACAGCAATCTTCTACTAACCTGCTTCTCCTTGTTTCTGCTTTTCTCTAAAAACTCTTTAGTATCCACTCTACTCTGCCAAGGAATAACTGTCTAACTCCCCTCCTTTCTTTTCCCACCAGGGACCAGTTCAGGGATCTTATAACACGTAGGCCTAGTGCCACTATTTCCTTCAGACCCCAAAGTAATTCAGAGCTAAGGAAATCTCTAAGCTCATGTTATCTCTCAATCTGGTGAAAATACTATTTTACAATAATTACTTTTTATTTTTTCCTTTAAAGAGCTTAGCCCACAGAATGGTTTAAAAAATATTCTACCACCCCTACAAATCCCATCTATCCCTTTCTTTTCTTTCTTTGTATTCTAAAACTTGAGTTTACAACCATATATGGAAGCAGGATGTGTAGTATATCGAATCCCCTGAACAACTCAGAGAAGTTTCTGTCCCACTTCCTTGATACCTACCATTTTCCTCATTCCCTCCTGTTTTAATCCTGCCTATCATTTTACTTCTAAGATCTTCTGATCTGTGCCTCTAAAACATAAGCATATTTTATTACATAAGTTCAAAGTCATCATCACGCACAACTCAATTAGCCACACCTTTTTCATACCACCTGATTCCCAGTCCATATTCAATTTCCTCAAAAATCCTTTCATCTAGGCCTCTTCAGTTTGCTCAGATCTGGGTCTAAACCAGATGCGCAATACTGCAGATTCTAAATTCCCTTTCACCTGTGAGAGTCCTCCCATCCTTCCTCTTCTCGTTAGACCTGACAGATGCAGGCAAGCTGTGCTATGTCCGGGTTTTCCTGCTTGCTCTTGATAGTCCATTCTCCAAGCTCCCATATCTGCAAGCTGGAAACTAGATCTGAAGGCATTAAGGGTACCATAAAGGTCAGAGCT